CCCGCTGCCCACACACACACACTTTGGATTATTTTAGGCTAATTATTGGTTTTTAATACATTAAATTCATTACATTAGAAATATGTTATTAATTGTAGTAAATATGGATGTTATTAGAGCCCCAGTCTACTGATCTTGCATTCCGTTCATTTAAATATAAGTAGTTTCTATTAGAATTTAAAATATAACAGTATTACCACTTAAAATCAAAATGGAATGATAGAAAATAAGTCTGTTGAGGCCTCAAATACTGATGGGTAATCAGGTTCCTTAGCTTTTATTTGTTTTATAAATTGGCTTCTGTGAAACATTTCATTTGAAAGAGTCCACTGCTATAAAAAGTTTGAAAACCCATGGTTTAAAATAGCTTTGCTTCTGTTTTTTTACAGTTGTTTTCTTTGAAGTACAAGTATCACATAGTGTTAAGAGCACAAACTCTGAATTCAGAATTAAAACTTGGTTTTACCACTTCTAATTATGAGACTTTGGGTGAATCATTTTATCTCAATAAGCCTCAATTTCCTCACCTGTAAAAACAGGATGATAATATCTTCCTCATAGAATTGCTGTGAACTTTTAATAATATGCATAGTACAGAGGTAAAGTGTTTAGTAGATGTTAACTATAATAATTATGTAACTTATTTCAGTTAATTTGAGGGGATATATACTGGCAGCTTTTAAGTATTTATCAACTGTTTATCTATCTGAATTTTTGAGGTATTTTGAATTTTTAGATGTCCGGATTCTCCAAATTCTCAATTTAATCCTTAGGTCCCTTAACATTGAGAGACTCTTTGCAGACTTCGTAATCCTCAAGCATTAAATTCATTTCCCCCGAACCATTTTTTCCTGGACTGTTCCATTATAATCTTATATAACAAATCACCACAGTTTTGTCCTTACCTCATTAATTCCTTTTGCTTAGTTCTCAAATATTTGCCTTCCCTCTGCCCCTCTGAGCTACTGGCACTAACTTCATCTCCAAACTCAACTTAGCCCAATTCTCATGCTGATCTTGATCAAGTCTAGCAATATATTATGGACCCTGCAAATACTAGGCTACTCTAGCACAAGGAAATAAAAGAACCAAAGACGGTAAGGATGGAAAGAGGTATCAAGCCATGAGAACTCAGGGATGTAACATTTTAGATGCTGTACTCGTGACAAGACTAACTGCAGGTCCCCCAAACTACTATAGCTACAGTATACGTATTACCCTCTATTTCTGGCAAAAGTCTTCACTACTTGGGTTTGGCAGCTAAGGTCAAGGACTTGGAGTTTGGTCGAAACTTAGTATCTCAGGTCTGGGACCTTGATTCAGGAATAGATTCCTACTGATACAGTAATAATGACATTTTCAGTCCTATTCTTGTATTAATTGTATCCCTGAGAGTTTATATATACTTTTTTAATTGCCTTGAACATTACTTAGTAATTAGTCTGAAATGGTGTTTACTTTGAAATATTCTGAAAAAATAAATTAGCCAAAGTGTCAAGTGAATTTTGAACCAGGATTTTATCTGTATCTTACATAATATAAATATAGTAGAGTTAAATGCCCAGTGAAGATTTGGATAACCCTAGTGATTGTAATTGAATGAGACATGAGCGCCAGGTATGTATCTTAGAAAATAAGTTTTAAAAATAGTCGTAATTCCTGGTAAGTTTTTATTAGTGTCTATCTACCAAGAATACAGTTTCTGTTTGTTTTCAAGTCTTAAATTAGAATAAACTTTATGCTTCTATGGAAGGTATGTATGTACAATTGAATCTTTAGCATCTTTTTTTTTTTTTTTTTTAATTCACAATTTTCAGGATTTATCTTGCTGTTTTCTTTTTTAGAAGTAACTAAAATTATCCCTTTGGGATGACATTTCTATACTTTCCCTATGACATCTTTTCCAACTCCCATCTTTAAGCTAAATGATGACCCCTACTTATAAGACTCCAGCCACAGGCCTGATCCCTACTTTTTTCTTTGGTATCTATTTCCCTAGTCCTGTCTAAACCACCTAATAGTAGGTCCTGGCCTTCTCTTTAAGTTATAGGTCCCTTCTTTCAGGGTGCCAAAGGTTATTTCTAATTGGGTTATGTTCCACTATGCTGCTTGGTTGTTCTTCCCAAATACGTGATGTCTCTTCATTCTATTATACTTAGTGTTTGTTTTTTTTGTTTAGTTTTGTTTTTGTTTGTGTTTTTTTGTTTGTTTTTTGTTTTGGTTTCGATTTGGATTTTCTTGGTTGTTTTAGCCTAGATATGGTATCTTTAGAACTCTCCTGTTTCATGACATTGCTTAAATGTATTATCATTTCTAATTATAATGCATGGTTTACCTATGAAAGTTATCTTCCTAGATAATTGTTTGAGTAAAGTAACAGATTGACTGCATATGATAGCTATACATTAGCTATGTAAAATGAAGTTTTATCATTTGTTATATTGAGTTAATACTTTTAGAGTATGTCTTTGAAATGTAATTGATAGCCTTTGCCCAAAATAGGAGTTTCAGAAGTCTGTGTTGACATCCTTGGTTACTTTTATAGACTGTATTTTAGATAGGTAGGTAGGCTGGGAGTTGGGGAGGGAACAGTTACTGGGGTTACTGGGAGAGCACATAATTAGTTTGTAGAAGCTTCCCAGACCAACCTAACCCGAACAGCAGTCATGCATATGGAGAGCCTGTCCACCCCTTTCTGAGAAGTTACTTTAACAAGAAAGTTACATAAAACAATGAGAAGACCGGTAGCCCCTGTCCTAAAATCCAATATTATATTCTCCTTGCCTCTGTTACATCTTGACCAGTCTTCTCTCTACTCTCCATTCTCTTCACCATTTCTTTAGAATTTGGCGTAAACGCCAACCCAGGACTTTATGCTTGGGCTCCCTTCCTATCTGCGTCTTCCTGCAGACTATGAATGTTTAAAGGAGAGGTTATGTTCAAATACCCACTGGAGTCTGGCAAGTAATACTGGGTGGGATTTATGTTGACTGGAATGCCCATGGTCCATTTAGAGGCAGCAGCTACCACTTGGCTTTGTTCAGTAGTTGACAACTTGTAATGCAGGTCCATTCTTTCTAGAGCTTCCACATTTTTCATTCTGGAAATCCAGGGTGCGTATGTAATTTTTTAAATGTTATCAGTTAACATTTTACAAAAACAATGAATGGGTCAGTGTTGGCCAAAGTTGTCCCACAAGCCTTGAATTTGTAATCATTGTTCTAGGACAATGATTTCTAATCAGAAGCTCCACTTTTGGAGCTTTTTTGATTGTATATGCCTAATCTCTAACATTAGAAATTCGGATTCAACAGTTTCAGCAAAATGTTCTGTAATTTCAGCACTATCCCTCTCTTGTAACTGAGCATTGCCACTGTTATGCCCATACCCACCAGCTTAGGCTCACTTAGATATTGCACTGCAGATCAGGTTTGAGTTTGTCCTTGTTGTGCATTTTGTCACTGTATTTACACTATTAACTGGACTAAGAATAAATAGAGTGCTCTGATTCTTTTCCTATATGATCTCAACCTTATACTCTTCTCTACAGACCTTTAGTTTTGAGATTAAATGCTTGCTGGGTGTGACAGCTGTATGTAAAACTAGAAACAAAGTTGCTATTCACCTTACACTTAACCCTAAGTAAGGGATGAGACCTGCTGATTGATATATGTGGAGTCCAGGAACTTCTGGTTATTGTAAGGTCTTGGAGGCTTTTAATCAGCTGCTTTTTAGAAATGTCACATCTGTGTGGCTCTGCCAAGGGGTGTCCATCTTCATTTCTCCAAATCCCTTGCAGCAGGGCATGGTTGAGGTACACGTCTGCATTCTAATCTGTGGGAACATTTTCTTTAGCAGCAGCACTTGAATATATTGAACTTAAAGGCTTGAGTTCTTGGCAATTGAAACTAGAAGAATAAAAACTAGTATGTTTAGGACCTGGACTCTCTGGCCATCAAGGTAGACCTCAAAAGAAGCTTTTGCCAAAAAGGAGAGGTTCGGTCTCTGAGCAGTCTTATAGGCTTATCAGAATTGAGAGCATTTTGTGCCCTACAGACTTCTATGTGGAAAGCTACTCTGAGTGGGCATATTGTTTATCTGCTTATTGAATGATTATATTTCATACTATCTTGCAAAATTTCAGAAGGACTATATTTTCATTAGGAGAAACCTCCCTAGAGGACCGTAGTGTTAACACCATCCATTAATCCTGGCTGACTTCCTTGGCACTAATCAGATTTTTACCTTCTCTATCAAGAGAGATCACATGTATCTAAAAGACCACTCTGGTGGTAATCGTTGTATTAGCTATCTTGAGCTAAATTATGCTGTGGTAGCAAATTATCTTAACTTACAGTGACTTACAACAAAGATTATTTCTATCTTTCATTATATGTACGTCATGGATCCACTGTGGCACGATTCCATGTCATGTTCATTCCAGGACCCAGACTGCCAACAGCCCCTGTTTTGGGACATGACTAATCTCATGGCTGAGGGAAAAAGAGAAATATAATGAATCACAAGCTATTTCTTAAAGCTTTCTTTCAAAAGTGACACGTACCACTTTTGCTCCTATTTCATTGGCCAGAGCAAGTCATAGGGCCAAGCCTAATGTCAAACAGGGAGGGGTAGAGAATAATTTTTGAACAATAATATAATCAAATTATATTATTCCACTTTCCCAAGACTGTACAGGTTATATCTTATTTATCTGTCGTCAGTCAACAAAAAAGCAGAAACTAGGTAATTTCTGTGCCCGAGTACCACAGCAGTAGCCATGGAGCTTGACACAGCAGCTGTCAACTTTTATCTCTCCTTAGGGAATGGATAGTAAATCTTTTCTTTCCCCCAAAGGACCTCCTGCCTTCTCAGAGAAAAATAGCTCCAGTGATGGTCAGTGCTCCTATCAAGAACCATTTTCCCCTTGCCTCTTATCCTTAACTCCCCACCTTCTTGGATACATGCTTCCTAGGGTACAAATTGAAGCACCAGTTCCCCCTTCTGGCCTTTGTGAAAAACTCACAAGTAATGTTAGTAACATATACTTGTTCTTAAAAGCTAGTTTTTACCTTTAAGCTTTCTCTATTATACCTAGCTCTTTTTATCAATCTCCGCTGTCATAGATTGAGGCTTATGTCCTCTAATCTTAATTGGATTGTTGCTTCCTCACCTTAAATCATACTCTGACAATGTTTCATCCAGTTTTGTCTTTTCAGTGATCTCAGCATTCTTACTCAGATTCTAATCCTTGTCGCAGCATTGAGTTCATTACTTTCATGAATCGTGTTTTATTTCTAGATAAATTGGGCCAATCACTTAACTTCTTTAGACTATAACAAATGTTTTATCTGTGGAATGGCTCAACTCTTAATTCTTATTTCTCTTTGACTGCCTTATTCCCTGGCTACCCATATGACTACTCTGAAAACCTTTTTAAAAAGGTTTTGGAAAGGTTTGTGCATTGTTATACTAGATTAATAAATATCTTCATAGGAATACCCTCAAGAAATATTTTATTATATGTAGAATTGTTTACATATTTGAGAAAGTAGGAAATTAGATTTGCTACTTAAATTTCAACGTTAAGAAATATTTTCTTAAACAATGGCACTCGCAAATAAGTATGCTATTTAAAACTTGTCTCTTACTAGATATTGTAAATATCTGAGTTGCTTGACCCTAGCTTTTAAAATAACAATTCTGTAAGACAGCTTCTAAACTATTCATTCTTTTTCATTTTTCCTATCTAGATCACAAGAGACCCCTGGAGATGGGCAGCCTCCAGCTTTACCACCCAAACAATCGAAGAAAAATAGTTGGAACCAAATTCATTATTCACATTCTCAACAAGATCTGGAAAACCATATTAATGAACCATTTGATGTTCCATCTTCACCTGAAAAATCTACTGTAAGTAGCATCAAATATTCTCACATTTCTTTGAAATTTTTAAACTATAAATGAAATTTCTTTTGTACTGTGGTATGTTTTATCTATAAATTATATTACTGTACTTTCTCCTTTTCATCATTTGCTCATGAGTTATGCCACAATGTAATCTAATTATGGAATTTTCTTTCATGATCATTTATAAAATGTTCATTGCTCTAGAAGTTAATTCTTAACAAATTAATGTTGATTTTAATCTTGCAAAACACATTTTTACAACAAATGCTAATAATCCATTAAATACCATTAACTTTTTATATAATTCACTGAGTGTGGACACTTTATCATTTTCATCTACCTTTTAAAATTGAGTTCAGGTCCTTGGAGTATGTGATCACTCTCTGTTCTACAAAATATACATATGAATTATATTGGTACTTTGGCCTTGGAGAACATGCTTTTACAACAATAAATAGTAAATTGTTAGAATCCCCTGATTTACAAATTTTTATCGCTTTCTCAGATGAATGTAAATAAATCAAGTGAGATTGTCAATAAATTATAAAAATACACTGTGTTCATGAAGAAGTATAAGGACAGACAAAATATGGCTATGTTTCGAGAAACTTAAAAAAAGACATCAGGGAATAAAATAAGATGCAGAGAATGGAGACTCCCAGGGGTTATTGTCTGTACCAGAAGTTTCTGATGGCCATTGCACATATAGACTTATCATACTTTCACCTATAGCCCTCCCACATTATCTAAAGTTGAAAGACAGACATTATTCTTCCACACTATTGCTTCACCACCACAGACACATCAAAAAGAGCAGAATCCTTACCAAAAATGGTAATTTTAGTGCTAACTGTGGTGATTTTTTTTTTATCATTTATTCATTTATTAGTTCATATATATTGAGGTCTTTCTATCTGCCAAGGTACTTAGTGGGTAGTGGAAATACAGAGGCAAGACATGACCCCTGCTGTTAAATAATCTACAGTCCAGTTTATTTTTCATTCGTGCAAAAATTACTTAACAGGCACATGCCATGCATTATTATAGGCTTTGGGGATATAATGGAATAAAATAGAAAGAAAAAACAAAAAAACCTCTGCCTTCAAGGAATCTATTTTCTGGAGATAAGGGTGAGACAAATAGTAAACAAGGTAAATAATTTAAATATATAGCATATTAGATAGTATAAATTTTAGGGAGAAATATGAAGCAGAAAGAGACTAAGGAATTTCAAAGGTAGAGTCTTATACTTTTAGATAGTATGAGCCAGGGATGAACTTAGTGATAAACCATGTAGGTAAGCTGATGGAAATAGCAAGTACAAAGATATGACTGATAAGTTCAAGGAACACCAAGGGAGTCATTGTGGCTAAAGTAAAATAAACAAATGAGGAAGAGACAGGTACATGAGAGAGCCAGATCCTAAAAGCCTTGTTTTATAAAGATTTTGTTTTTTAACCCTGAGTGAACTAGGAAGCAAATGGACATACATATCTGAAGAGAGAAGTAATGTGATGTCAATTAAATTTTAACGTTATCATTCTGGCTTGTTGTATCAAAAATACACTGAAAGCAGGGTAGCAAAAATAGTTGTTATGAGGTATTGAAGTATTCCAAGCAAGCTTTGGTGATTTTTACCATGTGGTGGCTACAGAAGGAATAAGACATGACTATATTCTGGGTATATTTTAGAGTACAGCTAATGTAATATGCTGGTAGATTGGATGCAGAGTAGTAGAGAAAGAGGAATCAAGGTTAACAGCATGGTTTTTGCCCTGAACAATTAGAAGAATGAAGTTGCCATTTACTGAGATGTGAAAGGCTGAAGGTAGAGCATTTACGGATAGTTATCGAGAGCTCATTTTGAGACATGTTAAGTTTGAGATATTTATTAGAAATCCATTTAGATATTGGATTCTGGAATTGAAGGGAGAAGTCCAAGCTAGAGTTATGATATTGAGAGCTTATGGCATATAGACAGTATTTAAAAACATGAGAGAGTAAGAAATCACTAAGGAAGTGTGGTATGTATAGGTATCTAAATAAGAGATTCTAGAAATGAGTCTTTGGTCCTCCAAATTGTAAACATGAGGAGGATGAAAGAAGCCAGCAAAGGAAACTGAGAAGATGTAGGCAGAAAGGTAGTCAACTGGCTGACGAGAAGAAAGCCATGGAGAGTGTAACCAACTTTGTCAAATGCTACTGAAAAGATGGGGACTGATCATTGAACACTGGAGCACTGTGAAAATCTCTTGTAACCTTAATTGGAACAGTTTTGGTGGAATGTTGGGGATGAAAACCCAACTCTAGGAGGATGGGATTAGAGGAAATAAAGACAGTAAATGTGGACAACTCTTTCAAGAAGTTTGGCAGCAAGAGGTAGGAGTGAAATGGGGCAGTAGCTGGATGGGGAAGTGGAATCCAGAGAGAATTGTTTTTGTTTTGTTTTGTTTTTTTAATGGGAGAAATAAGAGTATTTCCCAGAGGATCAGGAAAATGGATAATGCAGAAGAGTAGAGAATTGCTGTAGCAATATTCTTGAGTATGGAAGAGGGGGTGGGATCTAGAGCAAACAAGTATGAAGACAATTTAAAGGCGATATAAGTTCTATACTTAGAACTGATTATAGGGAATTCAAAAATACTTAAAAATAACTAACACTGCTCTGGAGTTAAGAAAATACTTCCCAGAAATGATCATCTCTGACCTGTGTCTTGAAGGATAAGTTAGCCAGATACTTACCCTCAAAGAGCAGGCATAAAACATGGTAAGTGAAAGAAGCCAGTAACAAATTATCATATATTGTATGATTTCATAAATGTGAAATGTTCAGAATAGTCAAATCTATAGAGACGGAAAATAGGTTAGTGATCGAATAGGACTTAGGGAATGGGGGCATGACTACCAATGGATACAGGGTTTCTTTTGGAGGTGATGAAAATGTTCTAAACTTAAATAGTAGTGATGTCTGTGACTATAGTAAAAATTATTGAATTATACACTTTGAGTGAAGTGTATAGCATGTGAATTATATCTCAGTAGAACTGTTTTTAGAAAGCAGCTACATGCAAAACTTTGAGCCACATTCTAAGGATATTGTGATTAATGAATTAAAATTAATTGATAAAGCTCCTGTTCCATGCACTTACAAACTAGCATGGAGTGGCAAAAAACCTGAGAGAATGTATCTAGTTGGGGACTGCAGGTTATTAGTGAAAATTTACTTTTCCTAATTAACATTTTAATTTATTTTTGATTCTTTATGTACTGTAGATAACAACATACAAGAAAAGCATTCTTCATGTATATGTGAAGGATAAATTATAAATGAAGAAAATTACAAGTTATTTATTTTTGTCTTTTTAAGCCTAATGGTGGTATTCCACATGATAATCTTGTTCTAATCAGAATGAAACCTGATGAAAATGGGAGATTTGGATTCAATGTGAAGGTAATCTGAAATTTATATTATACTCAGTTTTTAAATTAAGATGTTTCTGTTTTGCTAATTTATGACTAATAGTTGATTTGCTCTGTTTTTAAGGGAGGATATGATCAGAAGATGCCTGTGATCGTGTCCCGAGTAGCACCAGGAACACCTGTGAGTTTTCTAAATCTTGCATGTAAATCTTATTTTCAAGAATAGGTACTTATTTTATTTTTATTAGTCTAAGTAAAGGGGAAAAAATGATTTCTTTCAATTTGTTAAGTATCATATGTTGTTGGCTGAATACCTTAAATTGCTGGGAAGTTAGTTTTTATTTATTCCCTGTATATGAGTTTTTAAACTCCTTGCTTTTACAAAGAAGTTATTTATGACTTTCAGTGCTTCTAAAGTGTTAATAGATTCTATCATAGTAAGCCCATTAAGACAGCAAAATGTAGACAGAAGTATATTTTTCATTTGTTTTGCTATTTTGTTTGCTTGTTTTTTTCATTTAGAATTGTTTGCCTACATTCTATTTGCCTACTTTATGTTTTAAAATTTTACTTTAGATAGAAATAGTACTAGTGATTTAATTTCTAAACTTTTTATTATGAACCTTGTAAACAAACATAGAGAAAACATTTTAGGTACCCCTTATGATGAATCCCCTGTACCCATCATTCAGCTTCAGCACTCATGAACTTCATGCTCATCATAAGGACAATTCTTGATTAATTATGGGTACATTATCTTTATGCTCTTATATGTAGCAAATCTCACTTTCAAATTTACATTTATGTTATTGCTTTCTTTACCTAAATGGTCTCCGGGGGCTCTTTAGTCAGCACCCTTTATCATTTAACTATCTCCCTGCCCTAGGGAAGGTATGAACTAACAACCTGAGAGGAGGCCAATCATGCCTTTTCGGGTGCTTTGTAGCAACCTCAAAGTTGGTTTGAAGATCGCAATCAAGATTGTTTATAGATATCATGATATATTGTTTCGGTTCCAGTTTTTAAGGACTTTGTTGGTTGCAAATTACAGGGTACTTATTCATGAAATACCTTGGTTTAAGCATAAATACAAAGTTTATCATAGAATTATAGCGTATCTCACAAAACCCACGGATTGCAGTCAGTCCTCTAGAAAGAATTTTAAAAATCATCAGTCACTCTCTTTTTTCATCTCTAGTTCTTTTTCTGTGACTGTTCCATTCTTCTATCTCAGTACAAACCAATTTGTACACTAAGCCTTATACTCAAGGCACTGCAATAAAATAGTCTAAATAAAAACAGTGTATTTAATAGCAGCTTCCAGTCAAGTCCTGTAACATCACCACCACTACACACACATCCTACCTCCAAATATGATTATGACTCCTAAACCTCTACTAAATAGAAATTGGATAGCTACCACTCCCACTCCTCACCCATGTGGTCGGTTATGATTGCTAGTAACTTACAGATTTACGTATTACCAGCTTGGCAACCCAGAGTGAATAAACCTGTCCAAATTACAGAGTCCTGGGAAGTAAACCAATTATAGGTTCAGGCTAGATCAGATGTCTTCTTTTAAACAAATCTTATAGTCAGAGGGGCAAGACAGGAATAGGATGCATAAAACGACACTTTACTATGCATATGAAAGATGAGGACAAAGATGAGGGAAATAGTCCAAAATTACTTATGTAGTATATATTTAATAGGAAATATGTGTGTGCCTGGAACTGCAAATGAAGAGATGAAAGATTGCTAAATTCTCTTCTATCAAGTAGAAAGCTAGATAATGTCTAAAATAGAAAAATAAAAACAAAATGGGGATGTTATGTAGAGATACTGAGGTAAATACAAAAGATAGCTAAAATGTTGAAAGAAGTTGCCTCTAGAGAGGGAAATAGTAGTGAAGAGCATAAGAAATGGTTTCTTAAAACTCTTACAGACCTAGTCAGTTCTTTAAACTGTGTGATATATAACTTTGCTAAAAACAAAAATTTTACCTAAAACTTTTTTTAATCAAATATATATCTTTTGATCTAACAATTTCATTTTTAGGAATGGCCTCTAATGAAATATTTGTACTAGGGAACAAAAGGTACACTAGAGGAGATTTGTTGTACTATTGTTTATAACAGTTAAAAATCGGGGTGAGGGGAATGAAAATGTACATCATTAGAGTTTGCGAAATAAATTATACGTTGCTATGCAGCTATTGAAATGATGGATGATGTAGCTCTATATTAGTATGGAAATATATTCATAAGATGACATTAAAGAAAGTACACATTACAATTCCACATATATGTTTGACCCAGTTTTTTAAAATTTGAGTTATATACATTAAAAAGCCTTGGAATCATGCTTAAAATGTTAACAGTGTTCCATCTAGGTAGTAGAATTACTGGCATTTATTACTTCTGTATTCCTTTTTTAATTGTCTGAATTATGACAATGAGTATATATTAGCTCTTATAATTAGAAAAGATAATAAATCTTTTTGTTACGCTAGTTGTAGTAGTCAGTGAATGATACAAAAGCAATATTGATTTTTCTGAGCAGTCAGTGTGGATAGTTTTCAATTAAGTCAAGGATGTTTAAGAAACATTCTGTAGACAGGCTCATTTCTACACAGAATTCTATGACTCTGTATTTTCTTTATAGGGTATAAAAATTATTGGTAATTTTTTCCTTTCTGCCACATAGAACTGTGTTCCAAAAATATCGACTAAATTTAGAAAAAATTAAAACAATAGAAATTTTTCATTTTTATATTATCTTCCTAATTTAGAAAACATCACAGTCTTCCTGTTGGAAACCTCATTTTAAGTGATTGGAGAGAAAGGACAGGGTGTTAAATATTTTATTGTCTTTTTTTTATATTGGATGCCTTCTGAAATGGATAAAATAATTCCCAATTAAAGTCATGTTTTTGTTCCTATCTGCTCATCTTTGAGCTAATAGCTGTTGCTCCAACAAAATTCATTTTAATATACAATTTATCTAGACTTTCCAGATCATAGCGAAATACAAATAAAGAATTATAAATATACCTGACAAAAGTAAATTAATCATTAGAGAATTCCCTTCATTGACAATGGCTAAAATAAAGTCTGCATGTTTTAGCATATTGGTTAATATACTCCCCTGTTAGCCTCAGTGTCTGAACTGGAAATATCAGTGGATGTAGGCAGGATACAATTAAAGATTCGTAATTATCTTCTCCATAACATATAGAGCACCTCTTCTTTTCCACCAACTACTAGGTGAGAGGATAACTCTTTGCAATGACCACTACATTTCTCCCAATACCATTAATCTCCCAATTCACTACTCTTCAGGTACCTCAAAGACATTTACAAAAACTTGGAACCAAATTGATACACAAAAACATCACCCTGCTAGTACACAGAGAGAGTATATGAATGTTATCTGCTCCACTACAAGTAGAAAAAAAAGCAACTAAAGAGAATGGTCATTACCTTAAATTTTAATTCTCCAGATTTTAACAGTTTGCATAATGGTCTCATTATTGTCTTCACAGCTCTGTGAAGTAATTAGAGCAGATATCAGCTTCATTTTCAGAGTGTCAGGTGTCTAAGATCACACATTTCATAAGCAGTAGAGGAAGAACATGGCTCTGAGACCTGTGTTCTTTCCACTAATGATAATACCATGTTGGATTTTATTGGCTTTGCGTTATAGTGCATTTGAGTCGTCATGCTTTCATTTCTTCAAGCTTTTGCCACAGGAAGTTCCTTTAGTTTTTTTCCTGTAAGATCCAACCCTATCATTTCCTTCTCTGTCTGACCTATAATCCTTCAAACTTGATTCTTATACATCTCATTGCTGTCTTCTTGGACCATGCTGTCCATCTTTCTATTTCTCTCTTTAATTACTTGTTTGTTTGCTTAATAAAATACAGGTAGTCCTCACTTTTTGCCCAGTAGTGCAGGACTGTAAAAATGACCATTCAAAAATGACCAAACTGCAAAGTCACCTTGATAATCAATGGAGGAAATTACGATTGTTTCCATAATTTAAATTTATCAAAATGTTAACATCTCTCTTGCTTTCTCTTATAAGTGTATAGAGAAATTAAAAAATAGTAAAACTAATACTGATTTAGTATCCCGTAAGTCTAAACATTAGAAACATTGAGAATTTAAGTGTTTTATTTCTTCGTGAAAACTTATCACAAGTAGTTTGAACAGTGCTTGTGTCCTTCTCATTGTATAACTTAAAATACCGAGTGAGCATTCTTTCTTGCCATAGCAAATTGTCATAATCTTTTCTAAGTTTGAATCCACTTCCAGCGATTTGTACTCTGCATTTTCATTGTTGTGAAATATCTCCAAGAATTCCTTTAATGAGAAGTTTTTTGCCAGCATCACTTCCTCATGGACATCTTCATCCTTTTGATTACAGTGACTTTCATCATTTATGTTAAGTTCACCTTCACTAAATCCCTTTTGCTGTGTATCGAGTCTCTCAAAACAGTAGTAGGGTACATTTCCATCATCAACTATTTCTTTTATAACTCCATTTACATTCAGTTTGAATATCACTTCCAGCGATATCAGTTTTTGTTTCTTTGCTGCATTTTTAATTTTTTTGGACAATTCCCTCTTTATATTATCCATTTTTATGGGAGGTTATCATTGGGAGACAAGGAAACAACACAAGTGCATACTTTGTTGTGTCTCTACATGAACTGAATAATAGATGCACAGCGACAAATCACCAACAGACTTTGAAAGAAATGATGTGATTGATCACTGATCATGATTGTGTGTCCATTATTTATGTGGTGACTTTTGGACTGATGAACTAGCATCAAAGTTTGTACTTTATGCAATTATTCTCAATTAATATATCACAATAACTGAAATTTGTACCATGTTGTTGGGAGAAGGATGTTATTTAGCAAGATTGTGGTAACTGAAATTTGTACATATCTCGACAGTGCAAAGCAAGAGCTGACTGTATCGAGGCACCTCAAGATTACTTGTCTTACCTGTATGTCTAAGCATATAATAGAGCATCAGGGGAAAAGTGGTTGAATGAAGAAGGAAAACAATGTAGTATCTTCGTGGGAAAGCTATATGTCTACTTCTCTTTTTTTTAATAGATGGATAAACGAATAAGTGCTTTTTTTAAATTAAGTTTATTGGGGTAACA